GCATCTACTGTGTCTGAGCCCACATAATTATGTTATATATAGGTATATGAGGTATGTGAATGAGAAAAACAACAACATAAAGACTGAATTCAAAAGTGAAAAGAGATTAAAACACCTACTGGACACTTTATTAGGTACACTTTGCTTCGTATTGGGTTGGACCCTCTTTTTCCTCCATAACTGCCTTAATTCTTCATGGCATAGATTCAACAAGGTGCTGAAAACATTCCTCACAGATTTTGATACGTATTGATACGACACCATCACAAAGTTGCTGCAGTTTTGTTGACTGCATTTCCATAATGAGGATCTAGATGCTCTACTGAGTGAGATCTGGTGACTATCTTGTTCAAGAAACCAGTTTGCATCATGGCACAATTTCTTGCTGGAAGCAGCAATCAGAACATTGTACACTTTTAACCATCTCCATAAAGGTCTGGACATGGGCAGCAACAACACTCACTCAAAGTGTGCTAAGAAAATATCTGCCACAACACCACACCATACTGGCCTGAACTGTTGATACCAGGCAAGATGGATCCAGCTTACACCACATTCTGACTCTACCACGCGAACGATGTCACAGACCTCAAAACCCATCTGACCAGAGGAAATGTTTCTTCTGCTTACCAGTTTTGGTAAGACCCTTCAAATTATATTCAAATTATATTCTCAGTTTCCTGTTCTTAGCTCACAGCTGTAGCCCAGCTGTAATCTTCTGCACACCTTGATTGTAACAAGTGGTTGTTTAAGTTACTGTTGTCTTCCTATCATTCTCCTCTGACCTCTGGCATCAACAAGGCATTTTTGAGAGATGCTGCTCACTGGATGTTTTCTCTTTTTCAGACCATTCTCTTTAAACCCTCGAGATGGTTGTGCAAGTGAATCTCAGTAGATCAACAGTTTCTGAAATGCTCAGACAGCCTCTCTGGCACCAACAACCTTACCATGTTCAAAGTCACTTAAATCTCCTTTCTTTCCCATTCTGATGCTCGATTTGAACTTCAGGAGGTTAAAAAATGCATTGATTTACTGCCATTTGATTGGCTCATTAGATATTTACATTAACAAATAGCTGAACATATGTACCTAATGAAGTGGCTGGTAGTGTAGATTCTACCACTTTTGTGCTAGAACGATTAGATGGACGTATTTGACATTCAGACATTCACCTAATCCAGCTTTGTGTGAGATTCAGTAATATAAACTAGCTTTATGCATAAGTTCTGAGCAGCTTTGAAATCACTTGTATGGAATAACATGTTGGAAAAAGACACAGAGCTCCATCTGTCCCTCCGTTTGACAGAAGTTGCTAAGGCCTGTCATTTATTATTAGCCTTCAGTCTCTTGTTAGGTTTGCTTCTTTTTCTTTGGCTCCTCGCTCTTCCTCTCACCATCATTTCCGTCATACTTTTTGTCCTCTTGCTTGTCATTGCAAAAGTCTTCTTTTCATCACACAGTCACATCACATTAACATCATCAGAACAATGAGCAAATCTTGCCTCGGTCACATCTCTGAGTTTTGTTAACCGTTTTGGCATTCGTCCATCCCTCTCACCTCGCTCGTATTACTCTATGTCCTTGCTTCTGGACTGCTTCAGCTTTTTCCTTTGTGCTTCTCCACGCATGGATCCGCATCGTCTGGTCTCCCTCCCACTTGTCCACCCCCTCCTGTGTCTCCACCTGTGTAACCTACATAAACGATACAGTGTTATTACGGTTTTGCCACAAGTTTCTTTTTGCAGTCTCTTGTGTATGTGTTAGCTCGTACATGCGCAAAGGACAACATGGAAAAGCTCACTTTGAAGACAAGATCTCACACTTTTTTCCCAGTCTCTGCATCCTCATGCTTTCTACAGTTGCCCATGCTTATCATCTACTCAGTTATCAACTATTTTTATAATCCTTGCATCAGTAATGTCTGACGTCGTAAAGAATAAAAAGAACAGTAGAAACAAAAACAAACAAAAAATGAGCACAACACTTCAGGGTGAAACTCTCTTCGTTGTTGTGATTTGTACTTGTGAAGACTTTCTGGTGCTCGGCCAATAAGGGAACATCCTGTGCTGGTCCCACTGGTACTATCCCGCTTCACTGGGACGGGAGGGTGGGGGTTGATACCGGGGGTGGGGGAGTGTAGAGGGTGTTTGAGAACCTCAGTGTGTGTGTATGTGTGTGCTTTCATGATACAGAGGAGGAGAGTACTGCAGCAATCTGAGAAAGTAGGTCAGACACCAACTAGTGAGAAACATAGCAGAGGAAAAAAAGAGGTAGAGAGTAGAGATGGAAAAGAGAGGGGAAAAAAGAAAGAGCATAGATGGTAGAGGAGAAGGAGAGCGGGAGGGAAAACAGACCAGAAAGGACAGCAGATGCTGCAAGAATGACAGACCAAAGCAAAAGAGAAAAACAGGAGCAAATCTAATGATATACATTACCAAAGTATTTGGGCTGCAAAGAGGTAGCCTGTAAAGAAAAAAAGGAAATTACACTTTCTTGATTCATTGAGCCAACATTAAACAACATAAAACAACATTACAACCAACGAATGGTTGAAACAATCAAAAAAGAATTACAGGATGGACACCAACTTACTGATTTTCCTGGAAGGTCACGTCTTTGGCTAAATGCTCGTTGGCTAATGTCCTCAATAAATACAACCGCTCACAGTATTAAGCCTTCTGCCCAGTCTGTTTCTGTCATGAAGGCACTTAGAGAAAATATGTGTAGGCTCTCATCCAATTTCCAACCCAAAGAAAAGGGATGGTGGGGGGGAAGGAGACCTTTCAAGAAACATAAGTGGCACTGGTTGCTCTTTTTGCCCAGTTATAAAGCCTCTTCTTATAAACATTTTGCTCTTGATATTACATAAGTGCATAATGCCAAAAATACAGGCTGGCACTCACAATATGCTGAGGGCACTCATGGTTCTTATATATATGGACTCCACTCAAGTATGAATTACCTTTCTCTTTTGCTCCTCGGGCCATGGTTGTGTTTTATTATTTATTTGGTAATGCACAAAGTATACTGCATCTATAAATACACTGCAGGGCTTAGGAATGGACCACAATGGGGAAAGACTGTGCAACAGCCGCTCGCACACTGGTGTCATCACACTACTGTCATTGATTCGCTGACAACTGAACAAGTTACAGTGAAGGGAAAAGATTGGCTTCATATAGTAAACTGCAGATCACGCAGATGAGCTAGAAGCAAACTGGAAAACAGAGATGTCTGAAGCGGGACAGTGTGATGGTTTAAATTGGCTTGTTTTTCTTTCTGTCAAGGAAAGCTGCAGAGATTTCTGAAGTGAACAGGCAAACCCATGGGATGCAAAATATTGTAGTATATAGAAAGGACCCAGGTTGTGGAAAGATAAGCAATACATTTCTCACAAGAGGTTCACAATAACAACATAATAAATCAACAAAAAAGCATGGGAGTTAGTGTGAGTTGTTAGTTTTAATAGGCCAAATGCAACCATAGCATTAAGAATATGAACACCAAGTATTAAGTATTGAAAAGACTCGTCAAAATATCCAATTTAAAGAAACACACACAAGTAGGCCAAATGATATGACTGTGTGAAGGGTAATGTTACCTTAAAGCATCTGCATGATATTTAAATGAGTAGTGAGGTTAATGAAATCTTCATAACAATGGGATTCCAAACAGTACTGTAAAAAACTAACTAAATACACCCAGTGATTGTTTTGGCTAATTTTCAGCGCGACCTTTATCAGGAAAAACTTGAATTAATTGTTTTCTGTGTGTCTCTCACGTCACTGTGAGGAAATTTTGGTCACTCTTCCTTTTATTTATTTACAGCTCTTTTAAGGTTTCATCACATCATTTCAGTCAGTTTGAGCTCCAGACTTTGGGACGTTGCAACAGATTTGTTGCTGTGTTTGGGGTCATTGTTACATTGTAAAGCCAAGTTTTAGCTGATGGACGAAATGGCCTCGCATTTGACATTTAATAGTTTGGCACATAGATTGGCTCACTGGCTGCAAGCTGCCCAGGTCCTGTGGCTGCAAAACACTTGGCATGAAGTGTTTTTGGTGATGTGTTTGGTTTTCTGCAAACGTGGTGCTGTCTATTTAACCAAACTGTCTTTGGTCTTGTCTGTCTGGAGTTTATTTAGATGCAACTTTGCAAATCTAAATCATGTTGCCAAGTTCTTTTTAGACAGTATTTCTCTTATCAACACTTTCAAATAAGCCACACCTATTTTTTTTTTTTTTATTGCACCTTCATGAATTTTAAACTTTAACATGCACAGTTGGATTTTGGGGGGAATTTGCTGGGATGTCCACAACTAGGAAGATGGTGACATTGTGTTAACACACACTTGAATGCTCTAGACTGGGAAACTGCCAAAGCCTCTGGTTTTATAGAGGTGCTCACACTTGCTAATGATCAGTTATTTGGGTCAATTTGATTATCAGCACTGGCTGCTAATTACTAAGTAAGGCGTTCTTAGTTTCTTTGCATAGAGCTGAATAAAGTCCTGTGAAAACTTCCTTCTCCACATGAGTGTAATATGGCAGACATATTTTCAGTTATTTATTTTATCCCTTCTGATTATAAGTTCTATTTGTGGACTACATGCTTCTGAAATATTTTTATAGCTTTCTGCACACTTTTTGTTTTCTGGCTAAGATGTGGTAATTAGTTGGAATATGTAGGATACACACTGACATATTAAGACATTTTTAAATATTGAGTTGAGTATTAACTGATAGTATACTATTTAAGGGTATAAGTGTTATACATTCACTGGTTGTTAAATTTAATTTAATGTAATTAAATTGAATGAATAATTAATGCATGTACTTTTGCGGTTGGCTTGAGGTTTTATACTATTAAAATGCTGACATTTTCTCTGATGTTCTTTGCCTTGCTGGATTTTCATAATTTGACTTTTTTCTTTTGCTCTTTCTCTGATTTCTCTTCCTACATTAACTCTTTCTATTGACCCTTTTCTTCATTCTTTTCAGTATGTGGCTTTTATCTCCCTATTCTTCATCCTCATCTCCATATCCACGTTCTGCATGGAGACGCACGAGGCCTTCAACACCATCCTCAACAAGACAGAGAACGTCACAGTGGGCAACATGACTCGTGAGGAGATCGTTTACGAGGTGGTGACTGACAGCTGGCTGACATATGTGGAAGGTGTGTGTGTCATTTGGTTCACCATTGAGGTCCTGCTTCGAGTCACCTTCTGCCCTGACAAGTTTGAATTCTTCAAAAGCACCCTCAACATCATCGATTTTGTTGCCATCCTGCCCTTCTATCTGGAGGTTGGTCTGAGTGGGCTGTCCTCCAAAGCTGCCAAGGATGTCCTGGGGTTCCTGCGTGTCGTCCGATTTGTTCGTATCCTCCGAATCTTCAAGCTGACTCGCCACTTCGTAGGTCTCCGTGTCCTTGGCCACACCCTGCGTGCCAGTACCAATGAATTCCTCCTGCTCATCATCTTCTTAGCTCTTGGTGTCCTCATCTTTGCCACTATGATCTATTATGCTGAACGAATTGGTGCAGACCCAGATGACCCAACAGCCAGTGCCCATACCAACTTCAAGAACATCCCCATTGGATTTTGGTGGGCGGTTGTGACCATGACCACGCTGGGTTATGGAGATATGTACCCGGAGACATGGTCAGGGATGCTGGTGGGTGCGCTGTGTGCCTTGGCTGGTGTGCTAACCATTGCTATGCCTGTACCTGTCATTGTCAACAACTTCGGCATGTACTACTCTCTGGCTATGGCCAAACAAAAGCTTCCCAAAAAGAAGAACAAACATATCCCCCGAGCGCCACAACCAGGGTCCCCCAACTACTGCAAGCCAGATGCCTTGGCGATGGCTACTGCATCACCACAAAGAATCTTGGGAAATGTCTTAGGAGGAGTGATGGGGTCTGGAGGAATAGGAGGTGACTGTCCTCTTGCCCAAGAAGAAATTATAGAGATCAACAGAGGTGAGTGTTTGTTGTTGTTTTTTAATGCTGCTTATGTTTATCATGAGAACATATGCAATCTGTTTTACTGTTGAAAATATAGGAATGAATAAATTGTGTATGTTCAAGATAAAATTCAAGTTTCACTATGTTGTTTACCACTTTAAGCAATCTAAAACGAACTTGCATGATTGTAATCAATATGACAGTTTGCTCATGGTAGTTTGAGGCGTACAAAAGGATTTTAGACTTTTAACTGAGAATTAACTGAGTACCAAAGTGTCAAGAGAAAGAAGTGGAAGTACCATCAAGAAGAGATGCATAGCTGATTCTTGAGCCACCCTGGAGAAATTGCTGGCCCATCACAACTCATATGTAATTTATGATCAACTGGTAGGTTCACCGTTGCCTTAAGGCCTCCATCTGTCAGGGGGGAAAAAACAAACATTATGGAAGGAAAATGACCTCAATTATCTTTTAAAACAGCTTAATGCATCTCAACTTTGAGCTGACTTCCCGAATTGAGGAAAGTCAGCCCACATATTATCTCTCTGGCATTAACAGTGAAATCAGGAGGCGAGGTAATGTGGCTCTTGGCGCGCTTTTTACATGCTGCAGCATCAGGCGTCAGTCATATGCCACAATAATGCACCTTAAATGCATTACTCCAATGGCCTGATCATTAGTGAGTCAGAAAACATTTCTTCAGTGCTTTTACTACATCTTGTCTGCTTGGCTTTTTTCCAGGTATTTGTGGGCGGTGTCTTTTCTTTCTTCTTTTCTTTTTTCCTTGTTTTTATTAGCAAGTTGTATCAGTCAAACTTTTGATAGCAGACTCCAGACTCGGAAAGTACAATCAAGTAAAAATTTCATTATATGCAAAGCTTGTCTACTAACATGTCTTTGCATGACTCATAGTTCCATATCATTCATATTAACTCATTCACTGCCATTGACGTCTATAGCCGTCAATTGCAGTGAATGAGTCAATGGGTTTAACTCATTCACTGCCAATGGCTGGCAGTGAATGAGTTAATCTTGGTGAGGCCCTCAGCTCATTCACTGCGTAGAACAAGACATTTTCTTCTGGTTGGCTTCCTCTTACAAACAGAAGGATTGACCAGAACATGCTTTATTTTCCTACATTACAGTAGGACACATCAATTGAATTTTATTAATGCCAGATATATTGCAACATAAAGACCCTATAATGTTAGAAATGACCCCAACAATCAGATGACCCCTTATGAGCAAACACTTGGTGGCAGTGGGAAGGAAAAACCTTTTTTAACAAGAAGAAACCTCTGGCAGAACCACGTTTAGGGAAGGAAAGCCATCTGCCAACATTAAAGCCTCTCTTTCGATTGGACTCTACTCGGTTTTTAGGGTTTTCCATTAGGGAGTATTATCTGGTACCAAGTACTTTGTTAGCCAGGGTTCCAAGCGAGCTTCATCAAGCTTAAAATGTGACGTCGACAGCCTGCGTTCCACTGATTGGCCAGGTAGTGACGGCTCAGGCTGGGTCATGAGAGCGACTCCTTCACAAAAATCAAACAGAGCAAATTTTGAATAAGAGAAATGGTTACAAACAAACCAACACTGGTTTGTTCTTAACCAGAGTCAAGTCGAGTCAAGTACAGCCGAGTAGGCGGAAAAGAGGAATTAGATATGAAATTGTTTTTTGAGTTAAACAAGATGTTTAATTTTGTAGCACAATGATTCTTCTTTGGGTGTTTTTCACTTTCCTTTGCCTCAACTAGATTCTAAGCAGAATGGTGACGCAGCCTCAGCCGCCTTGGCTAATGAGGACTGCCCCACCATCGACCAGGTGCTGAGCCCGGATGAGAGGAGTCCTATTGGGCGAGGCCCCACTCGGGAACGCTACCAGCAGGACAGAGCCTGCTTCCTTCTTAATACCAGGGAATTCCGTGCCACAGATGGGAATGTGCGGAAAGGTATGTTTCACACCAGGAGACGGATATGCAAAACATGCACATCTTATGTAAACAGATCCACACAGCAAGATGTTTGGCACAGTATGATGTAAACATACATTATAGATTATATAAGTGCAGAGGCAGCCAATGCAGATAAACTACATATAGGTCCTTATACGTTTTGAATGTCACATTCAAACATGCAGGAAAGATGCGCTGGATGGGACAGCACACTATAAACTGAGTTAGGAGACTTCAGTCACAGCTAGCAACAAAACATCCACACATCTACAGTCGTGCATTTACCACACATGCATACACACCAAGTTCTTCTGCTCTGCTCTGTTTGTTTCCATCTCTTCACATTCATGTTGTCTGTGTTTCCATCACCGCTTGGTATCACATTTTATTTCTTCTGTCGGACAAGAATCTCTGTCCCTCTACCTCTCTCCTTTTCCTTTTTCTTCACAATGCCTCAGCCATTCATATCTTCCATCTTTCCACGGTGTCTGTGAACTTTGTTCTGTGTCCCATAATGTCACATTTATTCATGCTCAAAAACGATCTCTTTCTCTGTCTTCTGGACTCAGACAGTTGACCATGCATTAATTTACTTCTCGTCACTTCTGTTTCTCCCTGTCTGTTTCTCTCTTTCTCTCTCTCCTGCCTTGTGTTGTCCTTTTTATTTACTTTTCCCTCAACCCCTTGACCACTTACCCTCCCAAACTTGCCCCACATCTACCCTCCCGTCCCCGCTCTTTCCCTTTTGAAACCCACGCCCTCATTTCACCCCTTCTTTTCCTTTGTGCTCCACCATAACGCCTTCCCTTTTCGTTGCCCCATGTCCATTATCTTCATGCTCATGAAAACCCAACACCTCATTTACTACTGCAATCCAACTACCACCACTGCCACCAACCTGCACTGAAACACTCCCCCACACTCCCTCCAAACTTTCGACACCCCCCTGTTGACAACAAACTAGAGGCAGCAGCCCTGGCACCCAGCCCAGACTCCCCTCTGACTGAGGATTGGTATAAGATGGAGGGGTCTCTGTTACAGCAGGACCTCAATGCAAACTCCACATCTTCCTGGATCAAACCATAGGCCAGAGGTAACACTAAAAAAAAACAAAAAAATTTTTAATAAAGGAGCTTGTATCCTGGAAACATCCAGAAAGTTTTAATCTGGCTGTCCTAGAGGTAGGATGTTTTTTAATTGCACAAACAGAAGTGTAGTGCCCACTTTAACACAGATGCAGCTGCACATGCTACGCATGACCTCAAAAGATATGCAGATACACCAAATGTTTTCACAGTGTTGTGTCTAAATGTTCAATGGAGTTTGTCCTTTGTGTCACCTGTAAGAAGACTTATCTGTGCCTGAACGCGTGGAATGATGCAAACATTTGAGCTCAGGTTAGGTAGCACTTCAGTGTGAATGTTAAGGTTTGGGTTGCAAAGGGTATTTTGGGGCTCACCTTGTGATTTCTGAGGTATTTCATACAACGAGTCCTAACCTCAGCCCAATGTTGTACTTATTATTATAACTTTGTGAATGACAATCTCAATGAACACTGTACAAGATGTAATAAAAAAGAAAAGAAAAGAAAAAATCTGGAGAGAAAATGTGAAAATTTCGCTGTGATATACACTCAGTAATTACTTGTTTGTCTGTGTGAGAGCTTAAAACCTGCATACAGTCATGAGAGTGCAAGAGCGCATCCATGCGGGTATGCACATGTGCAAATAACACCCAGAAGCTCAAATGAAAAATAACCCCGTTGTTGTGTCCTGTGTCAATAACTAATAAAGCAAGACACTGAAGAAGAACCAATGGGAACAGCGGGTCATGTTGTTGTCTGATGTGCCTCTGTGTTGTTGTTGTCTCTCTCTTCAGGTTGTGTCATATCACGCGTGTGTATGTGCGCTTTTTTCATTCTTACATGTTATACACTGTGTCTCTGTCCTCTCAATGCCGTCTGAGTGTTGTGTTTGTGTTTGTCGTGTGTGGCTTAATTTAGTTTTTTCCCTTCCTATTGTGTTTTACTCCCTACCCCACGGACCTCCACCTTGGCAAACAGAAGTGCACACTGCAATTTAAAAAAACAATGTTTGACTATAAACAGCACCTTTCTATTTACACCTGTGTATATAATATGTACATGTACTCTCGCACTGGTTGTATGCACTAACAGTGGCATTTGTCCCTGCTACGCCGTGATGTGGCCACAAGGATTTGCAAAATTACATGTACATATGCACCATTTCTAATCAGCTGGTCTGCACTGATACTTTAACACATTGTGATTGCAGTGCTGGATATCACCTTTCCAAGGCCCAAGGTAACTGGGGTCACTGGAGCCATCTGTGTCAGGGGATATCACTTCGTGAAACATGGCATGCTTAACACTAGCAAACATTTTAAAGAATGCATTAATCAAAAAACAAACAAACAAAAAAATTGACCTACAAATCAGTTATAATACCAGAGTGCTAATTTACAAAATAAGCGTGTAATGGATCTGAAATACTATCCCCTGACCGTATAACTGTGCTTTCAGTGCCTAGTGTAGTCCAAAGATTAGGACCTTTTGTATGAGTACTGTGGAAAAATCAGAAGGAACATAAGCTGCACTTGGTGACTGAAACACTTACCGGCCAGACAGAAAGACAAATGCTATGACAGAGTTGACCGAAAAAGCGGCTTCATGCTGTTTAAGGTAAGCGAGCCTCGAGCTGTCCGAGCCTTTCAGTTAGAGGTTGCTGACATTGCTGCAGTTTTTAATGGTTTTCTATATGTAATATAAAATCTAGGTGCTACAAAGATCCCTCTTTAAAACAAATCAGGAGTCCATTGAGCAAAACAAGTGCTTGGGTTATTAGGATGCTGCGTAGAGCTTGTAATTTGTAGGTAAGCGATGTATAAAAGTCTTTATTGTTTTAGTGTGTATTTTAATGTTGAGCCTTGTGCACTGGGGGAAGAGACTGTACTAAGTGCTTACAGTAAATACCAAATCAATTTGATCTGTTTCTTACTTTCTCTGACACTTGAGTCTCTAGTATCTGATAACAAGATTCCATGTCTATAAGCCCCGTGTTAGACAAATGACCTGGCCAAGGTGATGCCTACCTCTTTCCTATTGGGGGAAAAAGATAGTTATATAGGAGCATTCAAACTTATCTGACTAATCTGTTAAATTTGTGAATCAGAAGTTTTGAATATCAATTAAATGAACAAAAAGCACTGGGTTTATAACAGTTATGATAGTCCCTGCTCTCCACTTGTTTTTAAAGAGGGATTTCCTCCATGCTGACTAAAAATAATTCTTGTGTGCTTTATTTGTGATTTATTTTGTAGATATCTGCATAAGGTGTTTTTGCCAACTTATTTTCTTAGCTTCTCAGATTCTTTTGTTGGATTGTTGGCCATTTGACTTCCTACGCACCCAGTGCCGTATGCATGGCTCACTAAGGTCAAACGGTCAATCACCCCCCTCTGATTGCTCACTCCAAATCACTCCTCCAGACCTTCTTCAAGGAGTTTATATTGGCTTCTGTCTCTCTCTTCCTCTGTCTCTCTTCTTCTCCACACTCTTTTCCTCTATATATGTATATGAGGTGTTTTTTTTGTTCTGTTCTGTGTTTCTAACATGCTCTGTGCATCTGTATTACTGTGATGTGTTATCCAGCAGTTTGGTAAAAAAAAAAAAGAAGTATTTATTTGAATGCTTTATTGTTTCGAGGTGTATGTGTGTGGATTGAGTTGATTTATGTTAATTTTAATTATATTTTGCTGTATTCTGTATTTTGTTTTGTTTTTCTCTTGATATTGTGTTTTGTACAAGTTCTTTTTGTTGTTTTGTGTTTTGTGACTTCCCTCGTGTTCTTCCTGTGATACCCTTTGAGTTTCACCATCACCTGCGATCTGTCTTTTCTGAATCGGAGTGACAAACAAAACTGCCAACAAAACAGCGGAACAAATTAACAGAAAAGTGGTGCAAATCTCGCTGGTTAAAGGCATTCTCAAGAGCATATTTGGCCAAAACGTTGCTTTTTATGCATTCATGTTATTACGCTAATTATCATTAGTTTACTTATATATATA